AACCCCCTCTCGGCAGAACACACCTACGCAATTAATTGCTCTCCCAACCCTATTGTGGACGCCGACCGTAACAATATGATGTTCTTAAAATGTTAGCCTTGCTTGCAACACCAGTAATGCATGGAGTATTTGATGTATCTATTTTAAGTCCCATGTCTTCTGCAATATCATCAGAAATAAGTGAGTCATTAGAACCAGAATCGGTCAATGCATGTGGAATCGTCATTGATGCAACCTTACAACATATTGTTGCCACATCATCAGGGTCTTTAGCCTCAATAAAACTTATTTCATATCTTGGATCAGGCCAATAAGATTTTTTGTGTTCCCACTAAAATGTCTATTGATTGCGAAATTTAATGAGTTAGACAGTGGTAGCACTTGGGGTTGTTCATTAGATTTACTTATTCGATTGATGGCTTCAATCAAAGGGAATAAAATATCATTATAAAATTCTGTAACATTTTTCCAAATTATTTCTTTCTCCTTGGAGGAATATTTCAATGGTGAACCACAGCAGCAGTAACCACAATATTAGGAGTTTTATTTTTGGCTAATGGGGTAATAACTTCAGAACTAAAAACTCCCCTACAAAGATTAGCTATTAAGATTGAAAATGCTGATATTAGTGAAAAAGAAAAAAAATCCTCAAAATTAACTAGAAGCTTATCCTTCAAACCATTATATACTTTACCCAAATAATCTAAAATTTCTGGTAAAATAGGGTTTGGACATTCTTTAACCAGCACTTCTATCATTGACTTAGAAGATGCTCAGAATATTTTTTGAGTTACAGCTACCGTAGATGAGGTATTTAATGATGATTGCTTTTTTTTTCCTGCTTTGCGGCGGTACTGCTGAGATTTACCTCTAGAACCAGAATTTATGGCTTTTTTTTTTTAATCCGAAAGACTGACGTAAATTGTTTTCATCCTCTTCAGAGTCAATTTCTTCTTGATCTGATGAGTTGTAGACTCGCTCTCTCCTAGAGTCTTCCTCTTCCGATTCTTCAGAAGTTGGTGAAGAGCTATCAGAGTAATATTCTTCTTCATCCTCAGACCTTACTGCAAAATTAGCCTTTTTAGTCAGTTTCACACTCACTCTTGAAGGGGCCCGTCGCCTCGTCTGCCTCGTATTTTTGTGCTGTACAGCTGTGGTACCACTGCGAACTAACTTCCGTTGTTGTATGGCTGGAACAGATCGCTTTGTGCCAGAAACTTTTCTAACTGTATTAATCTTCTTTATATGGTAATTTTCATACCCCAATCGTTTTTCTAATCCATCTTCGATAAATTTATCAAAAGCATCCGGGTCACGGGGTGCATTATCTGGATAACCTAATCTCATAGCGATTATT